GAAATTAAATGTCATTTCCGTCCAAAAGCTTACATACATACATACTCTTTTAGTTTATTTTTTTTTCTCTGTATATTTTTTGTTTTGATTTTATACGTTGAAAACAGCCTTTTGTCCTTTTGTCTATCCACATACATAACACATGCTCCGTCTTTTCGCAGTCCTTTCTTTCATTTAACTAAATTTGTTTTACATTATCGCTCATTTATACTCACAATCATTGCTCGATTGCCATTTTATCTGTCACTTAATGTCCAAATTAATTAATCTTCTAATTAATTACTCCTTTTTTCTTTTTCTTCTGCTTTCTTTTTTATCCACAGGAGGACGCCGATTTGGATGATATTAACTTGGGTGCCGGAACCAATACCCAGCAACCAGGTCTTGGTGGCGCCGGTGGACAACCAGCACCAGTTTTCGCGATGCCACCACCAAACCAATCAACCGCCACTGGCGTGAATCCATTTACGGGCGCACCAGTGGCTGCTGCTACAGAGAATACATCGCTCAATGCTACCGAACAGCCGACATATACGCCAGGTATATAAGACAAATAAAACTAATTTAGTGGATAAATTAAAAAAAAATATATAATAACATACAAACATTAAAAAAAGATTGAATTACGAAGCTCTAATTAACATGTTCACGAGAAGGTGTTTGGAAAAGATGATGTTAATAAAGATCGTTATTACTTAATTAATAAAAAAACTGCAAATTATATTGCTAACAATACATACATATGTTCATGATGACGGTGTTATTTGGCAAATGATGACAGCAGAAAGTATAGGGAAGCTGAGTTAAAAAGTTTATGTAACGTACATACGTATGAACTTAGCATGTACATCCGTGCAACCTTATGGAAAAGCAAACTAAAAAAAAATATTCAAACAAAAAATATTTATAACTGCTCCATTTCTTTTGCTCCTTTTTCTATCAGCGCGCTCACTTATAAACACAAAAACACACACTCAGCCATACACTTACACATAAAAACACAAACTAATTATTTCAAAAAAAAGAAACTAAATTAATAATAAGCAGTCACAATATTTATACTTATATATTAATACCGTTAGGAAAAACTTTAATTAAACTTCCTATTATTAATACATATGTAAAAATATTATACATACATATGTATGTACTATATAATATTCAATTACTGCTTTTTTGAATGAAAAAATTAATATTTGTTGTAGTTTAAATGACAGTTAAATAAAATATTAATCTGGCAAAAATTGGTATGTCGAATTTTAGCTAAAATCATTCGCACCTAAAAAATAATCATAAGCGTTTATGACCATCGAACCAAAACGTGTTTCACCAGTACTTACAACAACATCAAATGCAACTAATAACTACATGCATACATACCATGTACTTATAAGTGTATACATGTACTTATAAATGTATAAATCCTACATATGTACATACGTGTTCATACACATGCGATGATTAAAAGCGCAGTTACCCACGGACGTAAAAACGGAGAACGTGTCAGCTGACAGATCTATCTTATGGGATGTGGGTGTCTCTTCTATCTCTTTCTATCAACAGAAAACTTGATATGTTTCTACGTACTTCTACGCTACGCTACGTACACGTTCGTGGGTAACCGCGTTCTAAATATAGTTGTTAGAATTTAGCTTGTTCACTGTTTGAAAATATTTTTAAAATTAATTGTAACATGGTTTGTTCAACTCATTAAATTTCAGTACTTCATAAAAAGTAACAGGGGTATTCAAAAGGTTCATAGGTGTAGAAACTTTGAACTGTCAAAATGTCCAGCCTAAATGTTCAAAGTTGGCGGGCAAATAAATTCGACGAATTTCCACAAACGTTCCTTAAAATTTCAAACGTTTGCCAACATACTTTGTATGGNTTCGACGAATTTCCACAAACGTTCCTTAAAATTTCAAACGTTTGCCAACATACTTTGTATGGCAGAAACTGCATAATATCGTCAGCGAAAAAAAATCCTAAAATCAGTAGTCATTTTATTTTGACTAAAATTTGTATTAAAATGTTTGAAATTATCATTACACTTTGTCGAATTTTTGTACAAAGTTTGTAATTCGGAGATACATGGTTACTTGTTGAATATTGGGCTTTACTTTCATAAAGAAGTAATAAACACTGAATAAAACAAGAAAGAATGCCACAACTGGTTAAATTGTGGCGTCCCCATTTATTTCCCCGTCACTGTATGTCTAAAATCATTAACAATATATTATAAATCATATTGCCAATCGATAGCTCCATTGCTGAAAGCATATATAATTGATATTAAATTTTGAGCTTATTCAACCTCATGTACATATTTTCCATGTACCTAAAAGGAAAGTTATATCATGCTTAAATGTATAAAAATAAAATAAAATAATTTTCTTATATTGTAGAGGTCTTCAGTTACTTAACACAACTATGTAGCATAGATTTGTGATTATATGTTTGTATTATTTTTTCCATATTTATGTTGAATCTGAAACGAAGTTCAATATTTAAAAATTCATAACCAAATGTCAATTATTTTATTCAAGTCTGTATTAATTATTAAATTATATATATACATTTACACATGTTATTATTATGCCTACTCACATAAATACATACATTTAAATAAATGTATTTGAGAAAACTGTATCGTTACTAAATTGCGCCACTTGGTCCTTAATCCATTCCACAGTACTCATTTTATTTTGGCTTTATTTATATATTTTACAATACATATTAAAATTTCATATGATAGCATAAGATGTATCAAAGCTATTATAAATAAACGTATTTGTCTGAGAAAAAATAACTGTAAACTTCTGGTTAGTTCATTTATTTTTCACAAACAAATTAAACTGAAAAAAGTAATCACAAGAGCTTGTTGTTGTAACAGCACACAAATTCCCCAAAGAATT